GCAATCCTAGCTAGTCAAGAAGCTGAGGTGGAAGGATTGTATATTCAAGGCCAACCTAGGTAATGTAGTAAATTTATTCATTTTTTTAATTCATTTTTTAATTTTTTTTCTATAATTTTATTGAGAAACAAATAGCAATGAGATAGTTTCAAATCAAATTAGTAGGACAGTTTCAATCATTAATATATTGCATATTGTTTTCTTAGTGGTTATTCATTGTACAAGATGCACACATGATATCCTATTTACAAACACTGTTAGAACAAATCTTTCTATTCATTGAATTACGAGAATGTAGCTGTATATCTATCCTAACTCTTTTGAATATACAGATACAAAATGGTCATTCATTTGTATCCCCTTTTAGTTTTGTCATTCAAATATTATAGGTATGTGAATTCAGCAAGATATTCCAAAATAGTCCAGTAGTCCATAACAGTAGTGGGTTTTCCATATGACTGGCAATATCAGAAGTTGTTGATCTGAGCCTTTTACAGCTCAGCATAATAATAAGGCTTTACTTTTTATACCTCGTTTTTATACTTTTCTGCTGGATGGTTAAGACCAAGGTAAAGCAAGACCTATATAACAAGAATTGTAGCTTTTGTATCTGAAAAGGTCAGTCATGGGCGCCTGTCTCTTAGCTCAGTTATTTAAGTGCCTGCTTCAACAAAACAGTCAGCCTCAGGTTGCTGTGGTTCGATCCCCAGAACTCAAGCCAGCCAAAACTGCCTTGAAGGAATTCTGAGCCAGTGCCCACCCCCTCCCCCCCCACAAAAAAAAAATCCTTCTGAAAAGGTCAGTCATATCCCCTCAGGATTTATCCTGTAACCCTGTATTGCAGTTTGTAGATCTTCTGTCAGTGTCAGCCATGTGGATGAGTCAAGGCCATTGCTTGACCTATTTGCTCTCTATGAAAGCCTGAGAATGTGTTCTCTCCATATGACTCTCCTTAGGCACACTCTACATTATCGATCACTTTCCTTGGTGGCCCATAATCTCCTTGATCAAAAAATTTGGGACACAACTGAGTTATATGATGTTACAGTACAGGTTCTCCTATGTCCTGAGTCTTCGCTGACCTTGGAAAGCTAGGGCCAAAATGTTGGCTGTCCTTGCGGCCCTCCTTTTTCTCTAATTTTTGGTCTGCAAACATAGGTTGTTAACCATCGAGAAGAGAAGCTTATAGTAAATTTAAATGATTACAATGGGCATCGTAAAATTTAAAAAGGTTAAGGAACTATAGCTCAGCAGTAGAGCACTTGCCTAACATGTGTGAAGCTCTAGGTTCAATTCTCAGTACAAAAAACAAAAAGAAAAGAAACAAAAGAAAAATTTCCCAAGTCTTACAAGTTTCTCAGGCTTCAAGACAACATTAAAATTCAATCTATTTTTCTCCTGAGCCTGCATCTGTTAACAGCCTAGATATAATCCTGCCTTCTTTGTCATTTACTGATTTTTTTTTTAAATTACAGTAGCTCCTTTATTTGTTATTTAGGAAATTTCCCCATAACAATACAGAAGAAGGATTGGCTAGGATTTTTTTTTTTTTTGTACTTTAGGAAAGGGTCTACATGGTGTTCAGGGTCTCACTACTAGATTGGACTCATAGTGATCCATCTGTTTACAGCCTCCCAAGAGCTGGGATTACAGGCGTGCCACCACGCCCAGTCTTAATTGTTGTCTCAGCGTGATCCAGGGTTGGGACTGTCATGGCAGGCCCAGGGATTGAACTCTGGGCCCGTGTCTGCTTGCAGGTGCTTTAATCCGCTGAGCAATTTGGCCCGCCCTTGGCTAGGATTCTGATTCTTCAATTCTGAGATAACATCAAATTTTTTTTTTACATTTTTGTTAATTAATTAATTTTATTTTTTTTCTGCAAAGCTTTATTCCAGAGGGACTCAGTCCTTCTTGGCAGTTGCCTTTCTCGTGGCAGCCAGCATGTTGCTCAGCTCCTCATGCTTTCTCTTAGTGCGGATGTAAGTCTGCAACCTTTTCTTTTCCTTTTTTTTTCAAACCAATTTGGTAGGACAGTTACAATAATTAACACATTGCATACATTCTTCCTAGTGGTTAATTGCTGTACAAGATGCGGACATGGTATCCTATTTAAAAATACTATTAGAACAAATCCCTCTATTCATTAAGAGGATGTAACTATATATCTATCCTAACCATTTTGAATACACAGATACAAAATGGACATTCATCTGTATCCCCTTTTTTTGTTTAGCTCCGTTATTTGAATATTATAGGTATGTTAACTCAGCAAAATATTCTAACAGAGTCCAGTAGTCCATAATAGTATTGGATCTTACGTTTCACTGGTAATGTCAGAAATTGTTGACCTGAGTATCCTACAGCTCAACATAACAGCATGGCTTTACTTCTTATACTTTGTTTTTATACTTTTCTGCTGGATGGTTAAGAACAAGGTAAAGCAGGACCTATGCAACAAGAGTTGTAGCTTTTGGGTCTGATAAGGTCAGTGAAATGCCCTCAGGATTTATCCTGAGATCCTGTACCTCAGATTGTAGAACCTTTGTCAGTGTCAGCCATGTGGATGAGTCACGGCCATTGCTTGGCCAATGTGCTCTCTGTGAAAGCCTGAGAGAATGTTTTCTCTCCAGGTGACTCTCCTTAGGCACACTTTACATCATTGATCACTTTCCTTTTTGGCCCCATAATATCCTTGATCAGAAAGTTTGGGACACTACCAAGTTACATGATATTACAGTACAAGTTCTCATATGTCCTGAGTCTTTTTTTTTTTTTTTTTTTTTTTATGGAACCAGAGATTGAACTCAGGCTCTTGCCCTTGCCAGGGAAGCACTTATTCCACTGAGCCATCTCCCTGGCCCCGTCCTGAGTCGTAATTGATCTTGGAAGGCTAGGGCCAAAATGTTGGCTTTCCTTGTGGCCCTCTTTTTTCTCTAATTTTGGTCTGCAAACTTAGGTTTTTAACCCTCCAGAAAAGATAACATCAATTTTTATCTCACATTCATTTATAGTGAGACAGGGTCTCACTATGTAGTTCAGGACGGTCTTGAACTCATGAAGATCCAACCTGAGTTTCCCATGCTGTGATTACAGGTGCACTACCATTACTGGCTATTAATTTTATATAAGCACATGTAAAATTTAACCATTTTTAAGAGCACAGTTCAGTGGTACTTAGTACATAAGGAAGGGAAGGATGTGCGGGAGCAAGTGAGGTGGGGAGCCGAGGAGGGAAGACAATGAATTCCAGCTAAAATGTACTACTCATTCTCATTTTTTTAAGTTAAGGTATCCTGAAGTGAATACCACACTGGAATTTAATTGTCAAAGTCTCGCACATCAGCACAGCAATACTTATAGGCAAATTCTCCTAACAGTATTACAGCAGACATTTTCATAAAGGCCATACATATGACACACTGAAAGTATGAAAAGGTACAGATGACTCAACAGTACAATTTAAAAACTATATCCTATTAGCACATTTAACCCAAATGAACCTGGATCTTTCTATGAAATACCACTCCGGAAACTAGGTCAGAATAAATTTCTTTGTCAAAATAAACTTGTTCATTTACAAGTCAATTAACAATACTGACTGCTGAATCAGATAGCAGAGAGCCCCTCTATAATACTGGCTCTGCTCCAGATACTAACTTTGTATTAAAAAACTTGTAAGGGTCAATGTGAAAATCATCATTGTTTCTACCAAATAAGTGTAATCTATACTGACCTAGAAATAAATTCAGGTCGAATTTCTTAATGTGAAGCAAACAAAAATTCAAAAGCCGTAAATTTTTCTAATTTAAGTTAAAATGATATCTAGGTATGATGGGTTATAATTCATGTTCAAAACTAATAAATTCTGAAAAGACAAAAAAGCATTCATTTGTTTTCTTTAACATTAGAGAAGATAGAAGGGCATGTTTAAATCACTGACATGGTCAAGAGACAATATTCTATTGGTCTTTGCAGACAATATTCTGCAAAGTATTACATGAGTCTTATATGGTAACAACTTTTTTCTTAATATGGTAACAACTTGAAGTCCACATTATGCTCAACATCAAGCACCTGTTAGCTGAAGAGGCTCAAACATTTTAATACATAATATTTAGATTATAGTTCCTTGGTAGTCAAAAATAGTGATTATTGGTGCCAAATAACTGAATTAAAATAGTGCCAAGTCATCTCAGTAAAATGGGAATACTGAGAATCAACCAATTATTATGATCTTAGAATATTATAGGAATTGAAAGTCAGAAGTTATATATTTATGTCAATACTACATTTGGATGGCTACAGTATATATTTAAGGATGGCTTTGTTTAGGAGACTGGAAAAATGCTCATGGAATCAACACTGTATCTCAGTGTCATAGGTCAATAGACACAACTGTATCTGGTGAACACATACAGAAAATGGCAACTTTAACAGAGGCGTGCTTCCAAAGGCATTTCCTTTAGAGGTGGCTGAGGTTTTTCCACATTACACCATAAGTAATATGGTGTGGCTATCTTAACCAAACTTCATTTCAGGCAGTTATGGTACATGTTCCCAAACTACTATTCCTTCTGCCCACCATGCTGGTTCCAACATTCCATGATCCACTGTAATCTTTTGGTCTTCCCTCCTTTGTAGCATGGGAGCCAGTGCTGTTATCCATGGATTAGGTAGGCCACCAATTCATAGGTGACCATCATAATAGCTGTGTTTGGAATCTGTCTCACCAAATGAGTTGTTAGACCACGGAAGAGTGACCCATAACCTTCTTCTTGAACCACCAAAGACAGTGTCAGAAAAAATGATCTATATTTTGTTCCTTCTTCACGTAATCTTGTTCTTACAACTTCATGTGGATATGCTATAGTTGCAGCACAAGTTTTTGAGGTGGCAGGAGCAAGCATCATTCCCACAAAATCTGATGCTTCTTTCACAGACTCTTCAGCACTTTCCATCATTGATACAGTCTTACAATCAAGCAATTTTTCTTGATACTTTCATAAATAACAAAATGGATAAGTCTCTGATATGCCAGCATAGGACGCAGACATGCCCCTGTAAAATCCTTTAAGTCCATCTGCCTGATACACTTTATGGACACATTCAAAAGCACCCATTTGCTTTTCCCCATGGTTCCTTGCATCAAGCAGTACTCGAGTCTTCATAAGCCAAATGGGGTTGGTTGCAGTGATTTCAGTAAAATCTGCCATTGCAGCTGAAATCATGTGAACCTGGGTAGAATCAGGATCAAATATACCATTCAACTTTTCCTTGAAATGGGAGTAAGCAGCAAAGTATAGTGCTCTGGAAGGGGCCATCCCCACTATATTGAGGCCTAATCCTCTAAACAAGGAACGGGGCCCTTCTTTTTCCAAGATCACCTTTAGACAATGGAGGGGTCATGGAGACACTACTCGGTTAACACTGGCTCCAGCCATGGTGTTCAGCTGAACTTCAGAGATATAAAGTGTCACAGAAGACGACTGCAGCCGTGTTTTCACAACTTCCAGTGGACATGTCAGAATAGCTCCCACTGTGCCACCACATCTCCCAGCAAACAGATGCACCAGAGTGTCCCTCTGGCTCATTCTGTCTCCAGCATGTCCTTTGGGTGTTAAGGCCGGACGCGGACTTGGCTGCCCCCTACAGCAGGTGGCGTCAGTCCTGGAAGGAGATGTAGCACGCCCCGGGGAAGGCCGAGACACAGCTGCATACAGGGAGCCGCAGCCTCCGTGCGCTGGCACGGCCCACTCACCCTCACGTCCTCCTGTGGTACGCAGCGCGGATGCTCATTCTCATTTTTTTTTTTTTTTTCAAACTAAATTGGTAGGACAGTTTCAATAATTAACACATTGCATACATTTTTCCTAGTGGTAAATTGCTATACAAGATGCGGACATGATATCCTATTTACAAACACTATTTAGAACAAATCCCTCCAATCATTAAAAGAATGTAACTATATATTCTAACCATTTTGAATACACAGATACAAAAATGGACATTCACCTGTATCCCCTTTTTTTTGTTTAGTTCCGTTATTTTAATATTATAGGTGTGTTAACTCAGCAAAATATTCTAAGAGTCCAGTAGTCCATAATAGTATTCTCAGTTTAAGTATATAAATCACTAGCTACATGTGGCAATGCACTCAGGAGGCTAAGGCAGGAGGATTACACCAAGTCTGAGGCCAGCTTACACCACACAGTGAGACTTCACACATTGTTTATTGAATTGTAAGCATAAGATCCTGCACCTTTTGGACTCTCAATGTTCCTTGAGGCTCTCTTTTAATTTAACATTAAAGTCTACTATGGAAAGGACACAGTGATTACTTATTTCACACATATGCCTTTATTATTCTAAACACCTATCCCTGCTGTTCTTCATGCTTTGGTTTTTGCAAACTTCCTTCTTTTTTTCTTTCATTCTCTGAATGCTTGAGAAAATATATTATTTTTTATTAGTACAGGGTCTACAGGGACTCACTATGTAGATCGGACTTAGTGATTCTCCTGCTTTCAGCCTCTTACAACTCTCAGATTACAGGCGTGACATCACCACGCCCCGTCTCAATCCTGTCTCAGTGTGCCCCAGGGTTGGGGCTGGCAAGGCAGGCCTGGGGATTGAATTCCAGACCCTTGCATCTGCCTAAGCAGGCCCTTTAATCTGCTGAGCTATTTGCATTCTTATATTTAAATGGCAACGGAATACTCATCTCTAACAAAATTAAACAAAAAAAGGGTATTGAACCCTGGCCACTGAGCTCTGCCTAAGTAGGCGCTTTAGTCTGCTGAGCTATCTGGCTGGCCCTGAGAAAATATATTTAATTTGGAAGATCTGGGATCAATACTAGGCAATAGGTAAATAGATTAGATAAGTATAAATAAATTTAACAAAAACAAACATTTTTTCCCTAGATCCACATCTACTCTATTTTGTTATTATTTCTAATAAGGTAACTGAATATTCATAGGTTCTGTAAAGTATGTCATTTTGTTGATTTAAAATGGCAAATACTAAGAGAGAAAACAACCAAAACTACAAATCAATAAGCCAATATTCATCCAGAGTAAGTTTGTGTATGTATTTATTTATTTATTTTGTGTGTGTGTGGCCAGCTCAGCCCACCAGGGGGCGGGGCTGGCTGGCATGTGGTGCTGGGGGATTGAACCGCGGTCCATGTGCTTTGCTTAGCTTAGCTTGTTCTAAGTAGGTGCTTTAGACCACTGAGCCATCTCACCAGCCCTCAGAGTAAGTTTGAAACAAGTAACTTCAGTTTATTTGAATATATGTATTACTTATTATTTACTGCAAACACCATCATCAATATCATCATCATCATTTTTACTACTACTTTTTGCAGTACTGGGGACTGAACTCCAGACTTGGTACTTGCCAGGCAGGTGCTTACACTGATTAACCCTGGCCATATAAACATAATTATTGAGCACCCATGGTATGTTAGGAATTATGTAGATATCAGGAATACTGTGATTTGTCTTTGTTTTTGTTTTATTTAAAGGTAAAATTCTCTGATTCACAATGCCTACACATTGGTTGGAAAGACAGAAAACAAATGAAATAAAAGTGACGTATATATGTGCTTAATCTGTTCTGCTGAAATATTTCTGAGAATTATAAGAGGTGGCAGTGACAATGATGCTGTCATTTGAGACAACATACATATACGTGAAATATTAAGAAAAAAATGAAGAAGGAATGAATGTATATAATTTTAGATGAGGTGGTGAGGGCCTACTGGAACATGGCTTCTGAGTAAATAGAAGGTTGTGAGGTAAGAGAGAGCTCAGGAAGGAGCTTTCCACACAGAAAGCACAGCCAGTGTTGAGGCCTGGAGGCCATGCTGAGGATCAGTAAGGTCACCACCTATTTCTGAAAGACAAGTGACATAAACTAGCTTACTCTCAGATGACAGCATCATTTTCATGCCACCTGTTACAATTATCAGAAATATTTCAATGGAACAAATTAAGCACGTGGTAATGGAAATGTAATGAGCACAGGTCAGAAGTTCAAATACAGCTCAACTTGATCATAGCTACACTGCTGGCTTCTGAATATAGATTCAGAAAAGGTTCTTGTGTTGTATCACAAGAAAATTCCTTAGGGCTGGGGAGATAGCTCAGTAGAATAAGTGCTTGCCTGGCAAGTGCAGGGTCCTGAGTTCAATTGCCGGTACCACCAAAAAATAAAAAAAGAAAGAAAATTCTTCGCTCCCTGTATTTCTGTATGTCAGGAAAACATGGAGTAATGAAGCAATTCCAAACACATAAAGACACTGGAGGAGACACAGAGTTAATATAAATTATAACAATTGATTATCTGCAACTGTTAAGGTTGTGTGGCTGACTACACCACCATGAAAAGAACCATACTATCTCCACTCAGAAATGGAGAAGTAAATTAGGGGTGGACATATCACTTGGCAAAGGACTGGCTGAGAGCACCAGCTGGCCACCTTATATGAAAATGTAAGGTGTATTACTGAGGTTCTCAGAGCAGATCAGGATTCTTTCATATAATCTTTAGTGTTTATATAAATAAGCATATTTATGTGTCTTCCTGAAAAGAGTATCTTTTAATCATTTACAAAATATCACTATTTCTATCTTGCCCTTTGACTGAATCTGTTTCTGTGACTGTCATTAAATTTCATGTGTTCAACATGTAAAAGCCATGGTATTTATCACTGGGCCTATAGAAAGGACAGCTTAGACATGTGAAGTTTTGAGACAGATACCTTATTCATAAGAACACCACTCAAGGCTGGGGAGATGGCTCAGTAGAATAAGCGCTTCCAGGCAAGCGCAAGGGCCTAAGTTCAATCCCCAGTTCCGCAAAGAAAAAAAAAAAAGAAAAGAACACCACTCAAAATGAATAAAAAAACAAAAACAAAAAAACCCAAACCAAACCAAACAAAAAACCACCACTCAAAGTACAAGGGCACAACTTATCCCCAGCATTGAAACTGAAATGAATTTCACACACCAGTAGATGGCACTTTATGTTAAAAACTGCTACAAACCTCCATTACTTTTTGAAATATGTACTTGGTACACTTTCCATTTACAATTTCTACTGAGTTTTTTCTAGTGAGATTCCCATTATTATTAAGAAAATGTATACTGTACTCAAGGTTTTTTTCTTTACAGGGTTGTAAATTTTAAGACATAGACAACATACAAAATCTAAAATCCGGTCCAGGGCCAGGGAGATGGCTCAGTAGAATAAGCACTTGTCCAGCAAGGGCCTGAGTTCCCTGGTTCCACAAAAAAAAAAAAAAAAAAAGCCAATCTATTTTTCTAGGTAGATGCAGGCGACCTGTCGGCACTCATGAAATATATTGTAACAGTACTTTTAAAAGAAGTTACTCTCACAGTCAAAAGGAACTAGAATTTCATAAGGAATAAAAGAAAAGCAAACCTATAGTGCCATAATTTATTTTTGGTTTGTTTTATTAAATAGCTATTGTATGTTCTGAAACTTGGAATAAATGATATGTAACATATAGATATTTACCATTTGATTCTGAAGCCATTCAATAATTGTCTCTGCTGTTGAATCTGGGATCTGGCATCTCAAGCCTTCTTTTTCATCTGTTTCCATCATATCTAATAATCCACGCAGATCTTCCACAAGGTGCAGAGCTCGCAAGCTTCCCATGAATGGAGAGGTAGGAGACTGACAATCAAAAATTCCATTGGAATATTCCAGGGCCTTAGAACCTAAATTTAAAAAAAAAATCAGAGAAGAGTAGGATTTATGTTAAATAAAATACTACAGCTGAACCTGTACTGCAACATCCTGTAACTCAGTGGTGTCTCATATTTTCTGTTCAAGGAGATTATGGGGCGACAGAGGAGAGTGACTGACGATGTGCAGTGTGCCTAAGGAGAGTCACTTAGATAGAAAACATTCTCTTAGACTCTCACACAGAGCAAATTGGTCAAGCAATGGCTGTGACTCATCCAGATGGCTGATACTATGGGTCTTCCCCTCTCAGCCTGAGGGAATCCATGTTAACTGCCAATATAAGGAGAAAGCCTATTAAACTTTTAATAGATGCTTCTGCAGAATTTTCAGTAGTTACCCAGCCAGTGGTTCACTTACAAACTGGAGAGTACTCAATGCTTTCCCTAGGTCTGACAATTCATGTACCCCCAATAATGGTAGAGTTGGTGAGACGTAAGAGTAGGCCAGTTTATTTGAGACAATACCCAATGGCCATGGAAGATAAAAGGGATTAAACCCCACATTTAAGAGATATCTGCTAATGGATCTACCAAACTTTCTGAGTAGTCTTTTTATAATTACAAATTGTAAAAGGTTATTACATTCCAGGTCCTTCTGCTAATGGCTCTAGTTGTTTACAAGATAGTAAATCAATGGTATGTGAGATACTGAGGTCCCCTGAACCTTATCTTTATCATTTTTATGGGAAGACATTACTGTGTACTTGATACAAATCTTTGATTACATTCATAACTATCCTGTTGTGATTATTTAACCCATGGATGTTAAATTGTTTCTTTGGCTTTGTCTCCTCCCAACTTAACGCTATTGTACTTACTCAAGAAAAAATGGCCTGGGAAGACAGCTCAGTAGAATAAGTACTTGCCTAGCAAGTGCAGGGTACCAAATTCAACCTCCAGTACCAAAAAAAAAAAAAAAAAAAAAAAAAAGATAAAAATGCCTGGTGTCTGTTGAGGGCCTTTGGATAGAACATCTGGAAAATATCTCTGACTGCTAGTTCACAACTACTACCCCTTGCTGCATGAAGAAGCCAGAGCGCTCATCGCCCATGGTTCCCTCACAGCAGTTTGTGTTACTTCTTCATGGGGGGAATGTTGTAGGCAGCTGAATTAGATAGAAATGTTACAGGCAGTCAGACAGGCCAGGTCTTAAGGAGACAAGATGGAAGACAAGGTGACTTTGCAACTTGGAAGGGACAGACACTCCCATATGAGCCACACCTCAAGACCAAGATAATAGAAGAAATACAGCTATATACTTCCCTAGGGAATGATATTCTAAATAGGTATCAATCACCTTGAAAGAGCCCAATTGAGTCACTACCCAACCCCCAACAGAAAGAGACCCTGTCCCACATTCATGCCCACTTGCTACCTGAGTCGCTTCCCCATTTGGTACTGGATTTAATCAATTTTACCTGAGCAATGGTGCTTGTAATCTCTTTGGTTGACCATAGTTTTGTCCCACCTCATGCTCACCTGAGTTCCCATGTCTTCTCCATCACTTTAGACCCACCTCACCACATGGTTTTCCTCTATAGAAGTCCTCGGAAGAGACAGCTTCCCGGGGACAACCCCTTCAGGCCCCCCTCCCGTCCTTCTCTCAAATTGAAGCTTTTTTTTCCCCCTCAATAAATATATTCTGCTCATGAAAACAAAAACAAAAACAAAAAACAAATGGCTGACTGACAAAAGATCTACAAACTGCTGTACATGGTTTCAGAGTAAATCTTGAGAGGATTTGACTGATCTTGTCAGACACAACAGTTACATTTTTTGTTATATAGGTCTGGCTTTATCTTGGTCTTAACCATTCAGCAGAAAAGTATAAAAATAAGGTATAAAAAGTAAAGCCATATTAATATGCTGAGCTGTAAAAGGCTCAAGTCAGCAACTTCTGACATAGCCAGTTCTGCTGATAACTCATTACTATTATGGACTATTGGACTATATTGGGTTATTTTGCTGAATTCATGCACCTACAATATTTGAATGGCAATGGAACACATCTCTGACAAAACAACAAAAAGGGGGATATAAAGGAAGACCATTTTGTAGTAAGAAAAAATATATATATATAATCTGTATATATAAAATAGCATAGATATACAGCTACTTTCTCTTAGTTCAATGAGAGAAAAGATTTGTACTAATAGTGTTTAGACAAGATATTGTGTCTACATCTTGTACTCTTGAGTAACTACTATGAAGACAACAATATGCAATGTATTAATTATTGTAACTGTCTTACTAACCTGTTATGAAACTATCTCATTGCTATTTCTCTCATTAAAATTAATTTAAAAAATACTGTAACTGCAGGAGGTAAACCAGTCTAGCCCTAGGAATAATGAAAACAAGGAATAGGGCAAAATAATAATTAAATCATATAAATCTCTCCAACTCATAGTTATTTCATGAAAAAAAAAAAACCATGTAATTGACAGTAATTATCGAACACCTAAAAAAAAAGGGCAAATGTGTGTTATAAAAAGAACAAGATCCTGGTTGGATCTGGTGTGAGAGCTACTGGCTTCAGGAAATGATGGGTAAGAAGGTGATGTATCAGGTCAGGTAGATCCATATGTTCGAGAAAACAACTTTAAGAGACCATAAGGCTTTAAAATTCCCTGAAAAGGAGCTGTGCTAGAGATTGCACATATTTTTAAAGGTAAGCAGGTCAGCATCCAGTTAACTATAATAATTTAACCTGAAGTTCAACGAATTACATATATGCATTGTATACATATTTGTCTGTTTTCCTTAACATTTTGTTTGAAGCCAAGCATGAAATGCTCTTGTTATCATCTTTTAAAAAGGTCAGACACTGTTTTTGCTTTCTATTATTCACACAAAAAAGTATTCTTTTGCTTAAATTCTCACAGCTGATCAAAATCCTATCCTTGAGGCAATCATGTATAACCTGTGTTTTTTTTTTTTTTTTGTTGTTGTTGCTTTTTAAAATTTTCTGGTCTGTCAAATGTCCACACCTTTAAACCTAAATACAAATCACTATAATACCACCTCCTAAGAATAAAAGTTCTACAAATGGATGACACTAGTGGGTGAGTTTTCTCTTTATCTGTTTACCTGGCTTGAATAAGTCCCCTGCCAGGGACAGAAATGCTCTTTCACTCAGTCTGTTCTATTGACCTTCCTAATACTAGACCAGAGGATCTGGACTCAAGTCTGCCAAACTACCACAACAATCACTGCTGATGGATGTTCTGCATAGTGTTGAAAGCTTTACAAGACCTCTGAATTAATCCATTTAGGAACTGAATAAAGTGATGAGAACCCAGAAAAATACAAATCATGGAGAGTATTACAGGAACCAAAGACTGTCAAAATTGAGACAGATGACAGTGTAGTGTTCCAGCAACTTTAAGAATCACCTAATGATGGCATTTAGAAAAAGTCCTCACATATTTAGTCTTCTCCTCTCTCTCCTACTTGAGTTGGAAAATCACTAATAATAATTTGAAGAAACTCAGGTCCTATCTACCCTAAACACTTCAGACTGGTTTAGTTTGCTAGGGCTAAAAATCAAATACCATAATCTAGTAGAAAAGATAAAATGTACATCCTTCAAATACTAGTCCAGATATATCACTTCACTCAACTAGTTTTTCTAAGAATCTACGTGAGGTTAAATGACTGATAACTGGGGCTGGGGAGATGGCTCAGTGGAATAAGTGCTTCCCTGGCAAGTGCAAGGGCCTGAGTTCAATCCCCGGTTCCACAAAAAAAAAAAAAAAAAA